ACAAATGACACGTATCCCCTCGTCAGAGCTGCGTGATCCCTGCTGGTCAAAACAAATCATCTTTACTTCGAGGAACGCACTCAAATCAATACGTCTCTTTTTTCAAACCGGGGTCAGGTGGATTGACGGCAGTGCTCATTAGGTGCCCTGCTCAAGAGCACGTTGACCGCAGTGAGCGGGGGAGTGGAGAGCATCGTTCACTCAGCGGATGCTCCTGATGGGCTATGATCAAACCACCGCCTTCTTCTTAATGCTCTTACAGGCTGGTGCTTCCTATATGTGACAGCCGAGTCAGCACATTTACCACGGAGTGCTTTTACATGCGTGTCTGAATCCTCTCAACCTCTGCACGGTGAGAATGTCTATTATCTTCACGCTTCTGTAAAGCAGCAGGACCTGGTTAGTCTGTCCATCTGCACCTACAGACATTTTGACATATACGTCAAATTCCTGGAGATGAATCCATTGATACTGATGACAAGAATCAGGCATGTTCCAAATTAAAAATCCAGATCCAGTCACTTAAACGTGCTCTTGTAGGTTTCCTGCTGTTCAGTTAGAGATAATGTCGCTGAGAAAATGTCACGCAGCGTAGATTAGAGGCTTGTTTGAATTTTAAGGGACTGTCGGGTCTTGGTGGTGGTAGGTGCTTGACTGAGTGTCATCCTACTTCTCACATTAACGAATGACTTTTACAAAGGCTGCACTTGGATGTAAAAAAAAAAAAAAAAGCAGAATGTTAAAACAAAAACAAAAAACCACAAGCGAACACAGCGGGTACTGAATTAGGATATGCAGGAGAAATTCGAAAAATAAGCCGTGAGCCAGGAAGTCAATTTGGATCAGGACACCTGAGGTTTTGAAGGATTATTAGATGCAGCAGCAGAGCAGCGGGTATTATAAAACGGTTTCTTTATTAAAGAGGCACTTTCTCCTGCGACTCAGAAAAAAGGAGAATTACAACTTAATAAATAACTTTCATAGTAATTTCATGTATATTTCTCCTAAAAACTTCATTGCCCGATAAAAATGAAATGTGTAGTAGTAGAAAGGTGTTAAGGATGAGTTATCATCTGCTATTTTTTATTTATGCTCGTGCTGCACAAAACCGACAAACACGACTTATTTCTGGCTTCACTTTTACTTTAAGGAAATAGTGTTGCTTGGAAATCAGTTTGAAATCTTAAATTTACAGAAAACTACAAAACCAGGGGCTTAGTTCTATGATTTAAATGTTATAATAATAAATAAGAGGCACAAAGTGGGACTGGGCCAATGCTACATACGAGGAGGCTGCTATGTTTCATCCAATCCCTCAAACAGCATTGAGATATGCGCCGACTCTCCGAGGGTAAAAGTGACGTCAAACTTTTCGATCTCAAACACAAAGTGATCCTCACGAAGATGAAACCGGAGCGAGATGTCGATGTTTGTGTTACATGATGTGATTGTCTGAGAAACCAGCTTCAGTGAACACGAGTTCCATCCTGTGTTCTCTCTGACCAGGAATCTGTTAAACTTTACTTTCACAAGCAGCCAAGTAGGACACGGAGCCAGTGGGAACATATCAAACCCCATGACGCAGCGTACACGCCTCTCTGCTTTCCCTCTTTCTCCATCTTTACATTCGTTTAATTAATCCTTCATTCTTTCTGTGCTTTAAATCCCATCTGACCACGAGAGCGATCAAGAGCAGACGACATAAAAACGACCCAAACATTAAGCCCCAGCCTGCGTGATCTCTTCGCTCCTTTACAAAGTGATTGCATGAGTTTTAATCAGCGACTTGTGTTAAATACTGCAGCAGCGTTGGAATCATTTCTTTTAAACACTCATTTAAAGAGCAAAATTACCCAGAATGCATTTTTATTTACAGCAAACACCACAGGGAACCTCTGCAAAAAAAAAAAAAGACATGAGACGAGAGGAAGGAGGTAGGAAGACGAGGGGAGACATTAACATTTAGCTCACAGCACTGACAGGGGCGTTGCAACGATGTGCCGTGGGCCCCGAGCTGAGGAGGGGGGTCCACAGCAATGACACCTCAAACTCTATCATCTTTTAAATGAAGTTTCAGATGAAGAGGTAAAAATCCAATAACTACAACAGATGTAGTAATTAATTCAACTGTTTGTAAATGAATTAAACTGAAATTCAACCAGTTGGATTCTTCTGGTTTGTCCAGAGAGACGTCTCTGAGTACATGTTGTTCCTAAATATGATTTGAGATATAATTATATAACTGAGATCAGATCATAGTGACACAGAATCGTGGTGTTTACAAACAACAGGGAAATTTCAAACTTTTCCTGAAAACCCGCTCTGTGCGCCCGAGAGCACGACATTAATATTTCAGCACAGAGGAGGAAGGACTGTGCAGCTATAGCAGACTCTTATACACACCCTGAGCTGCAGCATGTATGTGCGCAGACTTATAGGGCTGTGGTGTGTGTTCGCAGAGCGTCAGACGTACACTGTGTACTGATGACATAGCCAGCGGGAGCAGTAAAATGAAATTAAATACATTCTAGAGAATTAATTAGGTGCTGTAAAATTGAACTCTGGTGCTCCTTGATTATGTTCGCCTCAAGCTGAGCGGAGGCCTGCTGGGCACCACATGTGATCCCGCCATGCACATTAGTTAACATGCCAAAGATAGGCCCTGTACGCTGAGGGGGGGCGGGTAAGTGACGCAAACAAGAGGGGAGACGTTGAGGTTTATGAAGAGCAGGTGAAGTACGTGGATTTAAAGATGCAGGGCAGCTTCAGCATCACTTCCGGAAGAAAGAAGGGGAAGGATGATGACGGAGAAGAAGAAGGAGGAGGCAGAAGAGATGGAAGAAGTGGGAGAGGAAGAAGCGAAGGAGGAGAAGGTAGAGAAAGTTGAGGAGGAGGAGGAAGAAGAAGAGGAGGCAGGAGGAGAGAAAGAAGAGGAAGAGACACAAAAGAGGAGGAAGAAGAAGATAAAAGAAGAAAGAAGAGGGAAGGATAAAGAATAAAAGAGGAAGAACGAAGAGGAGGAATGAGGGAATGAATAAATTGAAAAGATGAAAGAAGAGTGAGAAGAAGAGGAAGACGAAGATCAAGAACAGGAAGAAGAAAAAGAAAAGTGGAATAGGGAATATTCTTTCTTGATAAAAGTTGCTAAAGACAAAACAAGTTTCTCTTTCAGAAGAAACTTCTTAAAATAATAATTATTATCATTTACAAAGTCATTTATCCAGAAATCTAATATCATATGATTCTTCACTGAACGAGCATCGAGGTGGGTTTTTTTTCAGTGTTATGTCACACATCATCCGCAGAGTGAGAAAACAACTGCCTTTAATTATCAAGGTGCGAACTGTTGGTGCTGTGACTGATACTATCTGCTCAGAGACTCAGAGGTGAGAGGACTTAAAATAAATCCCTGATGAGGCTGATCTGAATTTCTGAATGTTGATGTGAAATCATTCCTGATCGGTGATGCATCATTATTATTATTATTAATCTTTCCTGCTGCTGCTGTTTTAAAAGTAATTTCTCGTCTCGGTTTAAACAACTGGGTTTAACTTGGGAAGTTTAGATTTTGATATGATAGATACTTATTGCATATTTCTTTAACAGTGCGCTGGTTGCCCGGGAGACTCTGGCCCTGAAATAATCCTATTGCAGCACTTTTATTAGATTCCACACAAGTACGCATGAGTCACTTCTGATGATGATGAACCTTCCTCAGCTTCAGGCTGCATGGACACTGCTGTCCATGGAGTCTGCTGGATTTGGCTTCTCCGTCTCGATCACCTTCGACACTTCATATTCCACGTTACAGATGTTTTAGATGATGTTCAACCACTGTGTGCCTGGTTTTCCAAAGGCAGCTTTCAGAAAATCATGCTGTATTAATGAAGATCTGGATTTCGAGGTCTAGACCATAAACTCTTTACACATCATGTGAGAGTCATTTTTTCAAAGGGTCCTTGGCAAAAGGGAGAATCCTTTCTTTTCACTATATTTACATCCATACGTAAAACACTGAATCCTGAATACTGTATAGAATTTAATTTACTTCCTGTAACAAAAGGAACAATCTCTGTGATCTAACTTGCAAAGGTTTGAGAACCACTCAGACACTTTCAGAGATAAACTCCCAGCATGCACGTGCCTGTGTTAGATCTTTAACAATGGCTGCCTGTCAGCATCAGACTGCACATGTGCTGTTTTCTTCTACTTCCTCGTTCTTCTTGACACTTTGGAGGAGACCGACAACCCCCTCTTTGACAAGCGTGCAGTTAGGGTGACGGCAGACCACTATACTTCAAAACCACAATTATACAGTTGTAGAAGTTTGTGTGTGTGTGGTTGCAAGAGACTGTGGAGAACTTTGTACAATGCAGCCTTGATACAAAAGACACACTTTGCATTTTGATAAAGAAACAAAAACTATTGCATGGACAGAACTGACGGCAGGTTTAATGAATCAAGGTTGTACTGAATGGATCACAGCACTGACACGTCAGCCCAAACTGGTTTACATCCCTATGGGGGGGGGTTGTCTGTCTGCGTTTACATCCACAGTATTACGTCTGTCACAGTATCAGGCTCTGAAACTCAAGATAGGATCTCCTCTGTGTTTCTGCTACCAGCAGGAAATGTAACGAAGCACGAGCATAATGAAGAAACTCAGATACGCTGAACTCTTATCTACTCGAGGAGAAACTGACAAAGCGACAGAGAGAGATGAAGTCAAACAATCACAGGGAGAGACGTTTACCTGTGTCTGTGTGTGTGTGTGTGTGTGTGTGTGT